TGACGGCAGTGGTGGGAAGGGGAGCGTGGACGGCGATGCCGTGAGGGGAGAGCGCGTGGCCGGGACAGAGGGGAGACAGGAGGGGGCCGGATGTTCTGCCCTCTCCCCAGGGCTGGGCTAGGGTGGTGTGGAGCTTCTCTCCCTTGTCACCCAGAGCGCGAGGGGCCGGGATGGGGCTGGGGTCCCTCTGATGTCCCCATCCCTGCAGCGCCAACCCTTACGCGGGGCTGGTGGGACGCCTGCGGGCAGCCTGGCTCTCGGGGAAGACGCGGCCCATGGAGTACCGCGCGGCCCAGCTGGAGGCCCTGGGTCGCTTCTTGGAGGAGAAGAAGCAGGACATCCTGGAGGCCACCACCTTGGACATGGGCAAGGTGAGAGGGGGCTGGGAACTGGGGGACCCCGTGGCTGGGGGAGCCGAGGGGCCGCCCACAGCGCTGCCGGCTCCTGCCGTCACGCAGAGGGTCGATGCGATGCCCCAGCGGTGCTCCCTCCCCATGCTGCACGTCCCTGCCCACCTCCTCTGGCGCCCATCCCTGCCCTCAGCGTGGACAGAGATGAGCTGTAATTAGCCATTCGCAAACATAATTAGCCATTCCCAGACATAACTAGCCATTCCCAAACGCAGCAGCCTCAGTTTACCTCTTTTTTCTGAGCAGGTCCATCCCCACCTCAGCCTTTCCACCAAATGTTGTCCTCTCCCCTCTCTCGGTGCTCACCCAGGCTGCAGCTCTCAGAGCCCGGACCCCCCAGCTTTGCATCGTCCCTTGCCTCTTTGCTCCCCCCCTCCCACCAATGTCGGGGTCACCAAGGGCAGGGGCAGTGCAGACCCCATCCCCTGTGGCTCTGTGAGTCCTCAGAGAGCTCCAGCTCCCCCAGCCCCTTCGGTACCGCTCGCTCGCCCACAGCCAGAGCCTCACGCACCACGCAGGGCTCATCATCTCTTCTTCTCCATCCTAGCTCACCACTTCCCTTTGGGCACCTTCCCCATCCTTACCGCAGGCCGGATCCGTGGGATCCACATCATTTTTTTCTATTTTCAAGCAGCTGAGAGGACACCCGGAGTACCGCTTGATGCCGTTAGGGAAAGGTGTGCTGCATCTCACCCCGCTTCCCATTTGCTTCTGCACCCTTTGTGCTTCTCCTCGCCTGACCTGGGCGGGCGCCTGGCACCCACCGGCGTTGGGAAGCCTCCAGCGCAGGGCTTGGGAAGCGCTGCCCACGCACGGTGCTGCCAGCGGCGCTGACTCGGTCCTGGGCAGATGCTCCCTTGGTGGGGGGAAATGGGCCCATCCCGTCCCGTCCCGGTGGTGAGCGTCTCCAGTCAGGTCTGGCCGGTGCGGTCCTTGTGGCTCAGGGGGTGGCCAGCGCTGGTGGCCAAGGCTGCAGCTGGGTGCTTGTGTGGAGCTCTTGCCCATCCAACCTTCAGCATGAGAGAAGAGAGATGGCGGCAGCCGACAACCGCTCTCACCCACGGGATAAATCCGAGATGGAAAAACTGCTGATGAACCCAAGACTGTGCAATACCACTGGGGGTTAAAATCTGGGATTTAACAGAATCCCAGACTGACAGGGGTTGGCAGGGCCCTCCGGAGCTCACCCCGTCCCACCCCCCTGCCCAAGCAGGCTCACCCAGAGCAGGGGGCACAGGACAGCGGCCAGGCGGGGGTTGAAGATCTCCAGAGAAGGAGACTCCACAGCCCCCCTGGGCAGCCTGGGCCAGGGCTCGGGCACCCTCACAGTCAACAAGTTCTTCCTCCTGTTCACCTGGAACCTCTTCTGCTTCACTTTGTGCCCATGGCCCCTTGTCCTGGCGCTGGGCACCACTGGGAAGAGTCTGGCTCTGTCCTTGTGACCCCCACCCTTGAGATATTTGTAGGTGTTGATGAGATCCCCTCTCAGCCTTCTCTTCTCCAGGCTGAACAAGCCCAGCTCCCTCAGCCTTTCCTCCTAGGGGAGATGCTCCAGTCCCTTTATCATCCTAGTTGCCCTCCTCTGGACTCTCTCCAGGAGTTCCTCATCTTTCTTGAACCGGGGAGCCCAGAACTGGACCCAGTGCTCCAGGTGGGGTCTCAGGAGGGCAGGGTAGAGGGGGAGGAGAACCTCCCTCGCCCTGCTGGCCACGCTCCTCTGAATGCACCCCAGGGTGCCATTGGCCTTCTTGGCAACAACGTCCTGGCTAGTGCAAGTCACTGACTATTGCACACTAGCGCAGTCACGAGTTTTAATCACATGGTTCCCTCTACATCTGCCCTCACCAAGCCCGGGCCAGCAGCACCTCGCTGAGGGTTATCCCCCAGCCACTGGTGACAGCTACGGCTTAGTAACCCCCCCCTAGCTGACAGACGGACACACGGATGGTGCATCGAGCAAGACCAAAGGTCTCTCCAGCCCAGGCTCACTGAAGGATGCTCAGAAACAGGGCAAACACACGGGATACTTCCCAACATTTTTGGAAGCCAACGGCGCTGCCTCCCGTCCACGGCAAGAGCCACGCACGTGCTCCGTGCTCGCTGCCGTGCGTCGCCCGGCGATGTGAGCTGCCCCTGGGGCCACAAGTCCCCCAAAGGGAAAAGAAGAGCGACCCCAACATCTCCTGCCGCTGCCTTCCTCGGAGAGCGGCTCTTGCTGCCGCGCCAGGAGCATCCTCCTGCCTGCCGGGTGGCCGGCCTCTTCTCAGGGACATGCCGGGGACCTCCCGCAGCACCTTCCCTGGCTGCTGGGTCGCTGGTTTTTTCCTTCTTCTACTCTACAGCGAGGTACCAGGCTCGGGCTTTTCTGGCCTCATGTCGGGAAGCCCCCGGCGGGGCCCTGCTCCTGCTCGGGCTGCACCCCCTGGCCCCAGCCCAGCCACCACCGAGTGCCCACCGCAGCGGGCTGGCAGCCATCGCTAGCGTCGGCCGTGCTTCCTCATTTGCCCGGGGTTCCCTTTTCCTCGGAAGAGGCATCCAAGATGTCGGTCTGCTCGTGCTATCTGCCTTCCTCTCCCCGGAGGGGCAGCCCAGCTTCTTCCTCGGTCTCGCTTCCCCTCCCGATGCCGTGCCGAGCCAGACGCCTGCGCTGCTCCCAAACTCCTCCGCCCTTGGGGCTCCCTCTCCACCTGACCGTCCCTCCTCCCGCCCTGCCGAGGACAACCTCGGGAAGCCTTTGCTTCCCGCTCTCCCTCCTTCCTCGCCTCGGTGGTGGATCTCTTCCCCACTTTCTCAGCGCACTCTGCCAAAAAACCCTGCAAAAACAGGCTCCAAAATTTGAATATTCCTTTTCCTCCCACACTTTCTCCCAAATCTTGACAACAGGGTGGTGGATATTCCCGGGAACTGGCTGCTTTTATCCTTTGAACCTGCCAGTTCCCCACCATCCACCTCGCCTTCCATCGTATTCCTGGGCGAGAAAAAGAACCCAACTGTAGGACAAAGACTGGAAGGGTCCCCATGGATGGAAGGTGAGGAGCTGCCGGCAGAGCTGGACGTCAGCACCAGCGCCATTCCCATGCCGGTGACACGTCCACGGTGGCAAAGTCAGAGCCAGGGGAAGGGGGGTGGAGGGGGGATTTGCACCCGAATCGCTTCTGAGCTTTTATTTATTGGGCTGAATCCTTGCAGACGCCTACCCAAGTTACGCTGTCAGGTCCTGAAAAAAATACCCACCCCGCTGGAGTCCATCAACCCAGTCCTTTCGTTTGCGCCTGGGTGAAAACGTGATGGAAAAAGGGGTCTGTGACTCGGGACGCTCTCGTCTCCAGGCCAAACAGGACTCAGTAGCCAGACCAGCCCTTTCTTCCCCAAAACGCCACCGCTGCCTTCACAGACCCCTCTCCTCCCCAAATACTTCATTTGCCCTAACCTCAACCGAGCCCCCAGCAGGGAAAGCCCGGCTGCAGGCGGGATACTGCCGACAGGACTGGCCCGGTGATGATATCATGACGGGATTTTGGGGCTCACCAAACCCCAACCCCACAGATGTGGTGGGCCCCCCCCCCCCTCCAGTGGCAGGCGGTGCCATGCAGCTTGGGGGGGGGAGAGCGAAGCGCCCATCCACCATAAGAGAGGAAGGGCTTGGGTCCCCAAATCCTGGGTAAAAAACATCTGTGGGGACGGGGAAAGAGCTGCTGCTGTGCTGGAGCAGGGGCAGGGCTGACATGTAGGGTGCTCGGTGTCCCCAGCCGCCCTTCGAAGCCGAATTCTCCGAGATCCTCCTCTGCAAGAACGAGCTCAATGACACCCTGAACAACCTGTCCCACTGGATGAAGGACGAGTATGTGGACAAGAATCTGGTAAGGGGGAGGATGGGGGGGGAAGGACC